ATAAACAAAAATAATTACAAGTTAGTACATTGCGAGAGCAATAGTAACTAAAAGGGCGAAGTTCAGATAGTAGTTGCCCAAGCTCCTACTTCTGCTCTTCCACTTAACCCATTTTACATAAATATATATTTAAAGAACGAAAGACATTAAGCTTGACAGAATACCGATACAGAATTTAGCTAGCGTGTGGTTATATGGCAATGAATCCAGAATAGATTGTTAACTAATGAATTAGTATTAGACGAAAACATGAGAACTGCACTGTGTTTGCTGCAATATTTGACGATCAAGTATGAAGCGTTGGATATACTGTTTAAATTTTATAGAGTTTAGGTTTTTGCAGGAGTGTGGCAATGCGTTTGTACAGCTTGGCAATGCTATAACTGAAAGATCGTTCGAAGATGGAGGTTTTGTGTAAAGGTGGAGTTATTAAGGTAGGAAATCTAGGATTGGAACTGAATCTGATTTTATCGTAAAGATAAGTTGGTGTTTTTTCGATGATTATTTTATGGTATAAAGTAGCTGCATGCGCAAGTCTCCTATTTTCCATGTTTAGCCATTTTATTTCGGTTAATTTATGAGAGATGCGATCATACTTCTTTACACCATAAATCAATCTAAGGCACGAATTTTGGATTTTGTGAATTCTATATTTGTCAGCTGCATCCAAACAAGGGCCATAGAGAGTATCACAATAATTGAACTGTGAGAGGACAAGCGATTCACACAATATGATTTTTAGATGTTGGCCGATGCTATAGCGATGATTAAATATCAATTTTAAGTTCATAAATGCTTTTTTGATCATTATTGAGACTTGTTCTTTGAAACGCATGAGAATCCATTATCACTAAACAAATTTACTACGGGAATAGCTTACATCTCAACTAGTGGGTAACAAAGGAAATAGCTAAATAGCGTAAGAATTTAAATAAGAGCAAAAATCAAAGAGTTACTTAAGGGGAATGCAAATCAGGAATATTAATCGGTAAGAAAGTGACGTTACAAAACTACATTTTGAACCATGCAGTTAACGCTCCCGTGGCCCAAAATACGAATACCCTAATTCTATTTTCTCTCGACCCGTCCCTATTCTTTCCGACTTAACAAAAACACCCACAAAATGGAGCTAATTAGTTAACGCTGACATCTTTAATCATCAATGGCACGGCCCTTGAAATTGCAAATTCACACGAACCCGCGAAATCCGGACCGAGTTGTTTTGGGCACGCAAGAAACATTAAGATTATTTTATCGTTGGCCAGACTGTCGCCAGTAACTCTCCCAAGCCGTAAAATATAAGTCGCCAATGTTATCCTTTATATTCCTCTGTTCTGATCTATGTAGTTCTTTATTAGAAGAAAATAATTGCTTTAATCTGCCGAACGACCTCAGTATTCCACTCATTAGACACGATTTGGGTTGAATAATGAAAATTAAACTGCTTAGAGCGATTTTCTCTCTTTTTTCTTGCAAAAATTAACACTTTGTTAATTGTTTATGACAAATTTGGGCGGTATTATTTCTTCTATTTTTTGTCGGTTAAAATGTCTTTCCAGCTAAAATGTCAACACAGTTTCGTTTCTAGATTAGCTTTTGTTTCATAGTGTGCTGTGATTTAAAGTAATAACGTGTATATAAATGGCATATATATCATCTATGATATTTATATTTTGTTTATATATTTTTGAAAAGAGAATGTAATGTGCTATCTTTTAAGATTGAACAAGACACGAAGTCAGTAAAAGTAATGGCGTACCTTACGTATGTTTACGGGGTGTTATTAAAAAAATTTGGTTAAGTCCGTTAGCTTTTTAACCCGATCTCGTATTCTGAAAACGCCAGATTATTCAGCCATACGCCGGGAAAATTTTTGTGTAAAAGGCACATGACGCCTTTGTATGGTTTATTTCTACTAAGAAAAAATGTTGAAACTTATTAACTGGTGAGGTAGTCCCCAAAGGAACAATTTATTTTTTTAACATATATACAGGCTGTTTCACGCAAACCGTTAACTAAAAGTACCAGGCTTTCATTGATTAACTAAATCTAAAAATATGCATACGAACATAGTTTTTCATGATCTATTTAAAAAAAAAATTATTATGATCGTTTCACTTCGGGTTTTACCGGATGTCGATAGCAAACAGAACACCCTGTATTGTATCGCATTTCCGCAATCTACATGAAAATCTACGTCGTTTGAAACCACACCTCCCTGGACCCAGCATCATATAGGTTTTCAAAATTATTCAAGATTTTTCAAAACTTGTGACGTATCTTTAGAAATCGCCAAAAACACCCCGTATATTAATTAATTTACTTTAAGACTAAGCACGACCGATCCTCGGAACATATAAATCCAGATCTAAAAAAATTTGTCATATAAACCCAGCCCAGGTATAAACCATATGTGCACATGGACAGTGTGTATACAGGGTGTTTTTTTGGGAGCTTTAGTTAAAAGTTTCTGCGAAAGTAAAATAGGTAGGTTTTTGAAAATTTGTACTTAGGAGTTACTCTGAAGGCCGAATCGATGTAAAATATTTTCAAAATGGCCGCACTTCCGGAAACACCGGAAGTAGATAGTAACTTCGTTATTTTAAATGGCAACCCCTATTTTTTATTGCTTTTTTGGATTCTACGTGAAATTTCACTTCTTTTGATACCCATATGTCGATATCTACCATTTATGGTTTTTAAGTTATTTTGACTTTAAGAAAAAAAATGGCGGATGCAGATGGTACCTTGATAATTGATTACTTGCAAACGGTTGTAGTCATGGCAACCTATTTTTATCAGTGCATAGAGAATGAATAGGGCTTTCTTTTAGTGCACTTAAAAAAAAGTTAAGTTGCGTACGACCGCCCCTATGGATATCCAAATTTATGAAACTTCAAAGACTAAAAACTCAGTTTTTTTTAATGGAATGACCACGTTCTTACTATTCCATGAGATAGAGAATCGAAATGGGCATATTTTGACAATACATGTTCCTATAGCTATCTTTAACAGTTTCTGACTTATTCCCATTTTATTGAATTGACACTATTTTTTTAGGATTTTCTTTTTAGTAGTCGGCCATGATTCTATAACAATTGAATTTTAAACAAATCTAGTGACACTAATCCATCACCCACTGTTATAGGTTAACATAAGTTTTTCAAAAATCGAAAAATGACTCGCAGTGGTTTCACCTATTTTGGAATTTAATTGTTATTTATGGTGAAATGGGCAGAATCGCGGCGCGTGCTTTCCGTACATTCATTCGAAAACTAGAACGAAATTGTATGAATTTTTGAAATTTTGTACCCCTAATGCACTACAAACCGTTGAAGCACAAGTTATACAAAGCTCTACAAGAGAATATTTAAGAAAATGAATTGAATTGCAAATGCAAGATTAACAAAATAAATTCAATGCAAAATATAAAAAACTTTGTTGAAACATTTTTGGTATGGAATTTTTGCTAGAACAGATATCGCATTACCTCTCTTAATTTCCAGACTTATACGTTGTTTAAGAAATTCAGTTGAACGACTCTGTTTAGATTTTTCAAAAATTTTCTGTCCTATATCCTTATTAAATGAGTTATTTATTAATGAATTATTTAGACTAGAACTAGAATCAGTGGTATTAAAGAATCCATTCCTTGATTTGTTTAAAATTCGATTGTTATAAAATCATGGCCAACTACTAAAAAGAAAATGCGAAAAAAAATGGCATCAATTCCGAGATCAATTCAATGAAATGGGAATAAATCAGAAACTGTTAAAGATAGCTATAGGAACATGTAATATCAAAATATGCCAATTTCGATTCTCTATCTCATGCAATATTAAGAACATGGTCATTCCATTTAAAAAAACTGAGTTTATAGACTTTGAAGTTTCTTAAATTTGGATCTCCATAGGTGCGGTTGTACGCAACTTAACTTTGTTTTAAGTACAGTAAAAGAAAGCCCTATTCATTCTCTATGCACTGATAAAAATGGGTTGCCATGACTATAACCTTTTTCAAGTAATCAATTATCAAGGTACCATCTGCATCCGCCATTTTTTTTTCTTAAAGTCAAAATAACTTAAAAACCATAAATGGCAGATATGACATATGGGTATCAAAAGAACTGAAATTTCACGTAGAATCCAAAAATGCAATAAAAAATAGGGGTTGCCATTTAAAATAACGAAGTTACTATCTACTTCCGGTGTTTCCGGAAGTGCGGCCATTTTGAAAATATTTTACATCGATTCGGCCTTCAGAGTAACTCCTAAGTACAAATTTTCAAAATCCTACCTATTTTACTTTCCCAGAAACTTTTAACTAAAGCTCCCAAAAAAACACCCTGTATAGTGTATATGTACTTAAGCAGCTATATCAAATTTTAGAGAATTGAAGGTATTATTTATATTAGAAGAACGTCGAGACAAAATTGCTCTATTAAGCTGAAAGGTAAATAACATAAGGGGCAACTTTGACAAATTTGCTTTGAAGCAAGCAGATCGGTTTGCTTATAAGTATTTCGTTTTTGTGTCCCAAAACACTAATTAACTTGAACTCCTTTTACCTTTATTGCGTAGCTAACTGTCTTTTTGTTGATCCAAATACACGACGCTTGACGTTATAAATAAAACAAAGAAAACCGTTTCAATTAGCTCAAAGCGGAGAGGAATCCCCATCAAGCGAAAGCTCACAATTATCTTCAAATGCGAATTTGTAGTAGAACAATGTATCAAAAACATAAATTTCCATCTCCAACAAACGGGCGGACGTCGTAAAACAAAGGGCAAGAAATAAACCTGGATTAGGTGTAATCACCTTCCGGCCTTAATCCTATCATAGCATTTGTCCGTGCGCAATTATTGCAAACTGCGAAATGTACAATTAATCGATTCTAACAAATTTCCTTAGGTATTGAAAAGAGCATGCGGGAAATGTTGAAATTTAAGGGACGTAGCACTAGACGACATCCCAATTCCATTCAGTTCAGTTACTCCCCATTCGTGCACGTGCTTACATCCCTCGACGTTTCTTAACACCTACGTAAGTAAAAACTCTTGCACTTCTGTAGGTATCGTCTGACATGTTTTCCACCTCACCGAATCTTGCGATGCGAGTTTCGCAAACGTAGCAATATAAATGTAAATTAGATCGGCTCAAAAATTACGGGCGCCTTAAAATGTATACAAAATTTTCGCAATTCAACAGGTGAGCTTCAATTAAGCGTCACTTCTTCATTTTCTTAGCCCACAAAGTTATGACGGGCGCGCTTCCTCGTCCCGCTTCAATTTACAAAGTCCACGCGAGAGGGTTTCTCCCTCATTAATCATCCCTTTGGTGGCGAAATTAGAATAAAATTTTAGAGGGACGATCAAGAAGTTGTTGGTGAGCTCGTAAACTTTTGGCGTTCCCGACAGGGATCTTTCAAAATACCCCATTAAGTTGACAGATGCGTTTCAGTGTCGCGGAGAGGTAGTTAAGCGACCATAAGGGGTAAAATTTCAATTCGAGCGTCTCGGTGTTAAACACACAATACATTCGCAATTATGCGAAGCAAATTAAGGGTGGTGATTTTGGTTCCTAGACATTTTTGTGGCACTTTTGAGGTCAGCCGCTTTATGTAAAGCACGAAAAGTCAATTAAATCATTTAGTTTCATTGAATATGTGGGTAAATTTATAAATAAAGTCAACGAGGCTATTTGATAGACGTGACATCAACCTTAGACCACCATCATATATGCATACTCATTATGCCGATTACGCGTGTGGGTACTGGGTGTTCAATTAATATTAGCGAATTTATAAACGATTTTAACGGTTGCATAATATTACAGTTTAGTTTGGTTCATCTTCCAAATCCATCAAATTCTTGAGATTCTTTGCGTTTTCCGTTATTTTTAATTTTTCTAAGACATTTTTCAAATTCCAATGATTGTTGAACCCTTCAGCTTCTTCAATTGTTTGTGGATTTTTTTAATTTATTCGACTTCTTCAAATTCATTATACTTTTTCGAATTCTTCAAACTCTTTCATTTCTTCCGATCCATCCCGTTCTTCAATTCAATTTTTTCTGATGTTTTGAATCCTTCAGGTCCTTCGCATATTTTTAAGATTCTTCGGTATCTTTAATTTTTTTGAATCATTTTGATTGTCCAATTCTTCAATTCATTTATTTAGATCCACATCTTAGAAATAATCGAATTGTTGTAGTTTCTTCTAATTCTTTCGATTTTTTATTTTATATTCCAATTGTTCCGAGTCTTCAAATCCATCGTTTTTAAAATTCATATTTTTCGAATCCTTCAATATGTTTTAATCATCGTCATCACCGACACCTGTACCACCTCAAACACGCCCTGATTTCTACTATCGGCCCAAGATATTCATTGACAATAGAATGGTTGTCCCTTGGGTTGTCTCCATTTGGGATTTGTCTAGTCATTGAATCCAGGGCGAAATGTGGGTGCTTGTACCCTTCTTGATGTAGTAACCATGTCCTGTGTGAACGTTGCCAGTCTGAACCGCTCCGTGGATAGCTCCTCATATTTTAGGGACTCACTCAAAAATGTAGCACTTACTTGAACCCGAACCCTCGTGGTAACGCGGCACCAATTCGTTGAAAGCTCGAAGTGTGGTCAGTGGCGCACTTCTGCATGATCAAGGGGGGCACTTTGTCGCAATCCTGAATTTGTTTAAACTTTTCTCCACGACTTGCTCGACCATATTTTAACCCGGAGTTAAACTGTTAATTCTTTACTACCACCTACTCTCATAAATTTCACTCAATAAATCGCGAAATAAAATCTCTCATACACAAAATGCTGGGCGCCTCCTTTTATAACTTCTCTGAGAATTCAATTTCAATAAATTTTTCAGGATATAAAAATTTACGCACAAAAAGTGTACGCGATCGCTCGCGAAAGTTCGATTAACATTTCCGTTCTTCCGCTTCTCTCGCGATTTCAATTTCGTCCGGCAGAAAAACCGAAAAGTGACATATTTCTCAACACAAATGACTTCGACCGGCGTGCCCTAACAACCAATAGAAAACCCGCATTTCTGTCACGTATACGGATTTAAACAAAACGAAACTTTTAGATTCGAAGAAGTCGTGGCAACCGCGCTTGCTTTCCGCAATACGTTTCGTGTTATCGCCAGATATACTTTCGCTAACGTTTGCTGTGAAGCGGTACATGTGAAAATCTTCCTTGCGTTGTTTATAATTCATCTCGTTTAAATGTAGTACATTCGGGACGAGGAAAATTCAGAAGAAACTCAGTGATCTGAGAAATTCAAATAAAATTGATACTCGAAAAATTCGGGGTATTTAAAAAAAGCAAAGAATTTCAAAAGAGTGAATTTAAAAAATAAAAAGAATTTAACAGATTTTACAAAGTTGATGAATCTAAAAGACCTAAACAAATTGAAGAGAATCTAAAGGCTAATTTGAAGAATCGATTGAATCATGTGACCAATTTCTGAAATCGAAAAAATTCGATAAAGCTAAAGAATCCGTTATGCTTTCAAGAATCTGGAGAATCATAAACAGAACTTTTAAAAAATCAAAAGAATTTGAAAGCAAGAGCGAAGGGACAGATGAGACAGGAAAAAGCGAGATGTAAGGTGAATTTAAAACAAGTTGTAAATCAGCATTTGCATGATGAAAGCGCATTTTTGGTAATGCAGATCAGTATTTCATTAGCAAAGATTAAAATTATCGATCCCACCAACAGATATGTCTCGTTCAGACGATTCATTTTGTCTTTGCGAGTACCCTCCTCCGACAATCAGTTCTTGAGATAAAACGCATCACGATAAAAGGTCGAGGAGGAGGGCTATGGTTGGTAGAAATTAATTCCTTTGGTTGAGGCCTTTCATTAGAGTACCTACCAAGAAGGATAAAACCAGGTTCCCCCTCCCCTCACATTTTGAAAAGAAGTAGCAGTGGAGGGCGGTATGTGGTAGAAAACGTTCCTCTTGTTGAGACCTTTAATTACAATACCATGACGGATAAAATAATTCTTTAAAAAAATGCACTAAAAAGAAGGAAACAATTATGAAAAAGACGTGAAGTAAGAGACATGGAAGAGTAGTAAAAAAGACGAGAAAGAGGAGTCTTAATACATTTCTTCATTCTTTAATTCTTTTTAACTCTTCGGATTCTTGTGATTCTTCCAAATCTTCAGATCGATCACATTCTTCAAATTCTTTATCTCTCATTCCGTCGTCTTCTTCCCATTCCTCCATTTCAGATGATTTGAATTCTTCAATGTGCATGGGATTTGTTATATTTTTAAGGAATTGCGGATCCTTCATTTTGTTAGAATGTTTTGATTTTTTAAATTCTTCTGTGTATTCGACTCAGAAATTCTGTTCTCGATTGGCCACAGTCCCACACTCAAATTTCATCAAGATTCTCCCTTTTTTTGAATTGTTTCATTTTTCTGATGTTTCGGGTTCCTGAGCCTTCGTAAACCTAAACATTCGTCGGATTCTTCAGTTCTTTAGATTTAATCCATTCTTCAAATCCTCAAACACCCTTGAAACCTTTTAGATTCTTCAGATTGTTCGGATTCTTCTGTTTCTTGAGATTTTTCGGATTACTCGGTTCCTCGAATTCATTTCCTCCCGCTCTTCAACATTCTTTAACATCTTTCTTTCGAGGTATTGTTCCCATTCTTCGCATTTTTCCAATTCTTCAACATCCACAGGATATTTCATATTTTTCAGACATTGCGGATCCCTCAATTTATTATATTTATCAAATTCTTCCGTTTCTTCAAGTTCTTTTTAAATTTATTCCATTCTTCTGATTCTTCTAAATCTTCCTTTTGACCGAAAAATTCCTATTCTTTTTTTACTTCATGTTTTCAGATAATTAGCATCTTCCAGGTTGTCGAATCTTTATAATTTTGTGGATACTTCGCTTTCTTTTGTTTCTTAAGATTCTTTCTTCAAATCTTTACATTTCTACAAAATTCTCCTTTTTAGGTTCTTCTTGAATTTTAATGCTTCGGATGCGAGCTCCTTGGTATTATAAAAATTCGTCGGATTCTTCACTTCTTTAAATTTATTCCATTCTTGAAATCCTCAAATACTCTTGAGACCTTTTCGATTTTTCAATTTCTTCAGATTGTGCGACTGTTTCCTGAAACTTTTCAAGTTACTCGATTTAACGAATTCATTGTCGCAGACTCATCAGAGTTCAACTTTTTCGAATTCTTTCGCATCTTTCTTTTCGTTATATTCTTCCTATTCATTTTTCTAATTCTTCAATATCCATAGGATATTTCATATTTTTCAGATATTGCGGATCCTTCAATGTGTTGGGATTTTTTAATTTTTTCATCTTCGAAACCTTTTTTAATTCTTTGCATTTTTCTGATCTGAAAAGTTCCTATTCTTTTCTAAATCTATGTTTTCAGATCACTACGCTCTTTCAGATTTTAAATTGTTTATTTTGTGAATTCTTAAGATTCTTCTATCTTTTTAGATAATTTGGGTCTTTTAGGAGGTCAAATGTTTATAGTTGTGGAATCTTCAGATTCTTCTACTCTTAGTTTTTATTGTTTCTTGAGATTCGTACTTCGAGTATTCACAATTACCAATTCTGTTCTCGATGGATCATAGTCTCACACTGCTAATTCTTCAAATTTCTTCCCACAAAAGTTGGAAACTGTTGGTTTCAAGAGAATGGTGCACCCTCGCACAACGCCTTAATCGAGCGAGAAAATCTATCGGAGAAATTTTCCATGTTCCCGGCGTTGTGCGAGGGTGCACCATCCTGTTGAGACCAACACTTCCCAACTTTTGTTTTTTTTGTGTGCCGTATATCGTTGTATTTGTAATAAAACATGATACCCAATACAGTATGTACTTTTTTAACGGGCTATATAAAAAATGAAGTTGATGATGATCTTTCTGAAACGAAAATCTCTCAACGCTGTCTTGTACCGCTCAAAAAGTGGCAATGAGAAAGTGTTTTTTTTTATTATTTTGTTCAAATACCACCAAAAAGAAATAATAACGAAATGGGCAAATT